CCAGCCCCACTCCTCTCCCAGCTGGTCCCTCCCCCCTCCCGCCCCCGATCAAGTGTGTCCAATTTTTTTTTACCCTACCTGGTAACCCTACTGATGCACATGGCCAGTGGGTGAGGCCGTGTACGTCACCACCTCGCCCCCTTCCCCTCCCTCCGTGGCACTCGGCTGAGTTTGGGCCACACAGCTGGGCCACCGCGGAGGAGCAAGCAGTCGTTTGGGCCTCACAGACCCCATGCAGCACCCCTGTGGGGAGCGCAGGGAGCACATGGGGAGCACGGGGCCCAAACAGCCGCTTGCTCCCCCGCGGCAGCCTGGCTGAGCGGTGCAGAACTCAGCCAAGCGCCACAGCGTGAGGCAACAGCGCCCCCCAGAGATGACTCCTAACGCTACAGCATTATAGAGTCACAGGCATTGGGCTACTATATATACGATGGGTGCAAGAGGCTTTTTCCAAACCACTAACAAAATCTCCCGAAGCACAGGACTAGTTGGTGATGGAGATTCCAGCTACTCAGACATCTGTTGGGAAAACAACACAGCGGGGCGCAGATTATCCGACATTATCTTGGAATGTACTAGAGACCCTGTTTTATTTCAGAAGGTGGAGATGGTTACTGGGGAGAGGCTGTTCTAGATTTGATTTGGACAAATGGGTGTGAACTGGGTGAGAATTTGAAAGTGGAAGGAGCTTGGGTGAAAGTGCCAATGAAATGGTAGAATTCATTATTCTAAGGATTGGTAGGAGGGGAAACAGCACACTAAAGACACTGGATTTCAAGACTTTCACACACTCCAGTAGTTGGTAGGTAAGATTCCCCTGGGAAGTAAGAATAAGGGGGAAACAGCTCAAGGGATCTGACATTTTAAAAAGAGATTTCATTCAGAGTATAAAAGCAAACAGACTGACTGTGCAGGAAAGATAAGCAGCGTAGACAGACACAAGCCCTGGCTGAACCAGCAGATCTTCAATGATCTGAAACTCAAAAAAAGAGTCCTACAAAAAACTGCAAAGGATGAATATGAACAAACAACACAGGTACGTAGGGGCAAAATTAGAAAGGCAAAGGCACAAAACAAACTCAGTCTAGCTAGGGACATAAAGGGAAACAAGAAGACATTCTACAAATACATTAGAAGCAAGAAGACCAAGGACAGGGTAGGCCGGCTACGGAATGTAGCGGGGA